ATATTTATTGTGTTTAAACATGTCTGTGAAAGATTGTATTACTGTACTGTGTAATAAAATAATTACAATGCTGAAAAAGCATTTTCAGTGACAATGTTTGGATTTGAAATCAAAATAATGGATAAATGTGTTTGTGGTAAACAGCCACAGATCAGTTGCAGACTCCTGTGTGAAAGCTGCTTCTGCACCACTTACATGGTGTTACACGGCACATGGCCTACATACGCACTGCAAATGGAGTATGTGTGAACCTGGCGTAGACCGCCTCACATACAGCTCACGAAATCAGGCTTGTGCTGTGTGTAAGCTATTGTGCAACAATTGCACGATTGTCAAAACAAAAATGCAGTGCATAATCAAACATTTAGGAGAGAAATATATATTTTTGAAAAATGTCCCAAAAAAAAGCCCCCCTCAAAAAAAAAAAATGATAATAATAATTCGGTATCGGTGGTCGTATCGGCAGATATTGCTTTCTGTGATCGGTCTCAAAAATCCTGATCTGAGCACCCCTAAATAATATTATTAAAAAAAGGACTAGGCCTAAATATTAATTTATCCAGCACATCTATTTTATTCCAGCTAAAATCATTTGAATGAACGCCACACAATTTGTCAGGCCGAAAGAATCCACCGTGGCTCTGCATTCAGAAAGTACGGTTAATTTTGTACCCTAAACTTTTAAAGCCAATTTCTAGTGTTCATTTACCACATGCATTACATATTTCAAGCAAAACTTTAATGCATAAACTGAGCGTCAATCACCATGTTCAGAAACAGCAAGGGGGGGGCTTTTCTGGCAGAATTAATATAATTATTTTTTTAAGGTATTTAATGGATCTAAACCATCTTTTTATTCGGATTAACAAATGTCTTCAAATCACCACATCGCGTCTGCGCTATAAGCAAGCTGCATGCTGCACAGTTGACAGGAATTGTCACCTGCACAATCGAGGTGCTGTCACATCGTCACTAAAGTTGATAAATTGCATTACTTTTTAATGTGTTTAACTGTTTAACCATCCAGCGCTCTCCTGGAGACCGTGCGCTCATGCACACTCTCAGCACACACACATAATGCCTACTCCGTTTGCAGTGCATATGTGGTGCGTATTTTTTCCGCGCTCATGTTATTAATAAAGCGTGCACACTGCACACGGTTGCGGTCCGGCAGTGCGTTCAGGAGCGGTGCGTCTGCAGCATTGCAGAGATCGATTTTTGCTGCGCTGCAAGCGCTGAATTAAAGTAACAGCGCATTGTTTGCGGTAAATATGAACATGGATTGATACGAAAATGTAGTAATTACACCATAAATGCATATTATTAAAGTCTACTGTGTTTCACAGTCAACACATATAGGCTATGGCTTTTTGGCTAGGTTTAAAGGGAAAGAGCACTTTTAGATAAACAAGGCAATAATAGATGGCACTCGTGGAGGTAGGAAAACAAAGTTCTTTATGAACCACAGGATTGCTTGTAATAAAGATTTCAATGCAAAAGGAAAGGCAGTAGAGCTGACTATTTCTGTCAATGGTAAGTTTGTGATAACGTAAGAAAAGTAGTTTAAATGTTTTGCCACTTGCTTGAGCAACTTAATATATAAATCTAGAAGTAAATGCAAAAGTAAAAAGCATTGAATAATGTGTTGCTTATATTGTTTAAACATGTCTGTGAAAGATTGTATTACTGTACTGTGTAAGAAAAGAATCACAATGTTGAAAATGCATTTTCAGTGACAATGTTTGGATTTGAAATCAAAATAATAGATAAATGTTGTGTTTGTGGTAAACAGCCACGAATCAGTAGCGGACTCCTGTGTGAAAGCTGCTTCCCCTCTCACAAGAGTCACCTAAGAGGGGAGTTCCCTCCATTTTCAAAAAAGAAATTCAGGCCTTGAATAAATGTCTAAAAATCCTGATTGGAGTATCACTATAAATAGTTATAAATGATAAAAAGAAGGCTTTAAAAAGATTGGTATCAGTATCGGCAGAGACTGCTTTCTGTGATCGGTGATCGGCCTCAAAAATCCTGATTGGAGCACCCCTGTTTAATTTAAATTTAACAGTAATTTACTTTCAAATACACCAATTGCTGAAGGGTCTGCACAACTTTTTAGTACAAGTTCAAGTTGCACTGTTCAAAATACCTGAAGTAGCACAGCAGTGCATAGTATACCTGTTGTAGCACATTGTTTACTTTAAGAGTACATGTTATGTTTAATTTAAATGTAACATTTTTATTTTAATGTAAGACTGTTTTATTTATTTTAAATTTAACAGTAATTTATTTTCAAATGCCCCAATTGCTGAAGGGTCTGCACAACTTCTTAGTACAATTTCAAGTTGCACTGTTCAAAATACCTGTAGTAGCACAGCAGTGCATACCTGTTTGCATTTAATTAAGGTGGACTAGATTAGACTGTAATACAAATAGTTGAGTTTGCCAGGTGCATACAACATTTATGACAGGTTTCCATGAAAGTGTTGGTCAGTTTGTCTGCTTGACAATCACATTTTGCACTGCAGCAATAAAATTGAAGTGAGATAAACAAACTGAGAAATGTTTCTTTTTAGTTAAAACAGATGTTGCCAAAGTTTTCCTTTGGGGACATAATTTGAAGTTGGAAAAAGGTAATAAATTGCAATATATCGCAATATATTTAAAATCATAATAATATTGTATCGTGATAATATCATATCGTGAGGCCTCTTGTGATTCCCACCCCTACTGTCTATACACAAAGTATATGTGTGGAACACAGTTCATTGATGGAGCTGATGATATGAATCAGGTACGAGAGAGAGATGCAGAGCAGGGGGATGAGAGGAACGGGATTAAGAAGCACTGCTTTAGAACAGTGACTATGTTTACATGGACATCAGTAATCTAATTATTTACCTTATTCTGAATAAGACAATATTATGATTAAGGTGTTTACATGAGTTGCTTTTAAAATATTCCTTTCATGTTCCCGTTTTACATGTTATAGTACATAGATCGATTAATGGCACGTCATTACGCCACCAAGCGACACCATCCCCTCCAGAATTACACATATAAACATATAGATCATTTTTAATTTACTGAAAGCTTCAAGTGCAGTTAATTATTTGTCATGCTGTGCAAACAGGCGACAGCGCTGTTGAAGCCATGCTCTTTTGTTTGACCACTGCCGTGTGTGTATACTGTCGCAGAATGCGGTGAAAAGTCCTACACGACGGTAATAATGTGATTAAAGGGATACTCCACCCCAAAATTAACATTTAGTCATTAATCACTTACCCCCATGTCATTCCAAACCCGTAAAAGCTTCGTTCGTCTTCAGAACACAATTTAAGATATTTTGGATGAAAACCGGGAGGCTTGTGACTGTCCCATTGACTGCCAAGTAAATTACACTGTCAAGGTCCAGAAAAGTGTGAAATCGTCATAATATTCCATCTGCCATCAGTGGTTCAACCGTGACGAGAATACTTTTTGTACGCGAAGAAAACAAAAATAACAACTTTATTCAACAATTCATCTCCTCTGTGTCTCTCCGCATCACTGTAGCGCAATGACAGCGCTACAGGATATTATTTTGGAAAATATCCGCTGAATGCAAGCAGCGTACGCTATTCTGTGTTAGCCGCGCTGCACGGATGTGCTGTTTTCGTTCAAATCAAAGCGTAAATACACATAGAAAACGTATACTTGTGTCGCGGCTGACACAGAAGTTTTGTGTCGTAGTAGTTTTGACGGCATGGCAACAACTCTTCTCTAAAGCAGCGCAACATGGCCTTGCCCCCTTTGTTCCATGAAGAAGCTTGTTGTAGTCCCTTCCAGCTGTTTTTGTAGGCATTAAACTGCCATAATTTTAAAGGACAATATCTCTGTTTGCACTGAACTTTGTGTTGTAAATTTGCAGATATTGTTTATGCTCAAACAGCAACATTACACACTAACTAATGTTAAAAAAGTGAAATCACAATCAGCCACCCCTTTAATTACATTAGCTGGAAATGGTTTTCTTGTGTTGTGTTTCATGGGTTTGATTGTCATATGTGTGTTGAAAATTTTAGCGATTCAAGTGAAGCCTTTTGGACACTCTGTTGGCATCTCTTGTTCCGAGAGTGTTGGCACAAGTCTTGAACCTCCGTATTTCACATCAACACCAATTAAAAGGCCACAAATTGAAGACACCATGATCAATGACAGCTCAACATCCTCAAAGCAATTGTCAGATGTCAACTATGAGCCTGATATCACTCAAGAAGGCAGTGAAAAGTAAGTCTAGTTTTACATATGGATACACAGGGTAGATGTCAGGGCTTCTAGGGGAGGTTTGAGATGATCAAAAAAGATCCCTCATTAGAAAATAGGATATGACTTGGCAAGCTATATCTGTTTATCCAAGGTTTGCCAACCACTCTACAAAGCCAGGAAATAAATGGGGCGAATTCCAAACAGAAGTGAGCATCCCTATGCCCTACTCCCTTCGAAGGGCAGAGCCCTTGACTTGTGTTCTTTGCAGGGTGTAGGGCATTACTGTCTCGTATAAGCGTTTGGAACTCCCTTGGCAAAGGGAATGACTGACCAAATGTTACCTTGACAATGCTGCGCGTGCGCTCCACCAGTTGTTGCAAACATATATTTCTTCTCCTTATTTTATTCAAATACTGTCTAATTGTCTTATTTACTGTTAAACTTTTTCAAACTAAACTTGCTTACGTTTTCACATTATTTCACTTAATGTTTTACTACGTTTTAAGTGAACATGTTTCTATAACTGACGAAAAATATTTTGTATTACATTAAAATATAAAGACAAATTTAATTAGCCTATTCTACTTACGTTTGTATGTGAAGTCAAAATCAACCCCAACTTTGCTTTAAAATACATCGCAAGATATCCTAACCGAAGATCACATGATCACAAACGAAAACTTTCGTGAAGTGACCATCGCATGTTCCCTTCACTAACGGACTTCCGGAAGGGCCCTTCGTCAAGGGATTCAGTTGTTCACTTTCATTTGGAACGTCCCTACAAATGGCGTCCCCTTCCCGAAGTGCCCTTCAAGGGTGCAGAAAAGCAGTTTGGAATTCGCCTATGGTAAATTAAGACCATTTGCTACAGCTATTTCAGAAGTGTACAACATGCCACCATACTTAGTTGACAATTTTGTAAATGGGACAGGTGTATCTGTTTTGTATCTATCACAGGTGATGATAATTGTAGCAATGACAAATTGGTACAAACTATTTTATTTATTTTTTTTCAGTATTTATTTGGTATTGTCCATATAGATTTTATTGTTTCAATTTTGCTTAGGTCTGTTCACAGTGCATCCACAAAACACAGTGGAACAGCCAGCCATTCATCTGAAATACACCAGCTGGAAATCTGCATTTGTCGGCGGCAGTAGCCTTTAGTGGCACATCTTACATACAGATCCACAAGGTTTGTCTTTTGTTAAAATGATCTATAAACGGGAATTTTCAAGGTTATTTCTGCTGATGTCATGTGATATTTTCCAGGTCCTGTCAGCTCTGTCTGGAATGCATTTGTCATCAAAAGGTCTTTCTCCAGCCAACAATCTTGTGGCACTGGAGGTCTGAACAAAATAAAATTTTGGAGAGGGTAAGGTGTTCTGGAAATGCTGTTGTCTTGGATGGTGACATGAGAGCTGATTCAACAGGTTTGTTAATTTTGTATGAAAAGTAACTTTCAGTTTCATTTAGTCATTCAAACCAAATGGTATGCATTCTAAATGTCGGCTTACATACAGATCCACAAGGTTTGTCTTTTGTTAAAATGATCTATAAACGGGAATTTTCAAGGTTATTTCTGCTGATGTCATGTGATATTTTCCAGGTCCTGTCAGCTCTGTCTGGAATGCATTTGTCATCAAAAGGTCTTTCTCCAGCCAACAATCTTGTGGCACTGGAGGTCTGAACAAAATAAAATTTTGGAGAGGGTAAGGTGTTCTGGAAATGCTGTTGTCTTGGATGGTGACATGAGAGCTGATTCAACAGGTTTGTTAATTTTGTATGAAAAGTAACTTTGTTTCATTTAGTCATTCAAACCAAATGGTATGCATTCTAAATGTCGGCAAACATTGGATTAAAATGTTGTACAATGTGACAAGCTTGCTTAAAGGGATAGTTTACCCAAAAATAAAAATTCTGTCATTAATTACCCACCCTCATGTTGTTCCAAACCTCTAAGAACTTAGAACTTCGTCTTCAGAACACAAATGAAGATATTTCTGATGAAATCCGAGAGTATTCTTACCCTCCATAGACAGCAACACAACTGAAATGTTCCCAGACCCAGAAACTTAGCATGGACATCGATAAAATAGTCCATGTGACAAGAAAACAAAAAAATAACGACCGTACAATTCTTCTTTCCGCAGCATATTTTACTCTGTAGTGTTACTAATTTACTCTAATATAAATATTATGTAATGTAATAACACACAGACAGTGTATTTCAAATGTGTAAGTTTTTAATTATGGTTTTGCAGTCATACAGTTTTAACTATCTTCAGTCCTACTCTGCTGCTGCGTCATTTATAGCCTGGTTAATAACATGATACTCATTCTGCACTTTTGTCACAAACCTGCCTAACCTCCCTACAACACAGTCTTTCAGAACCAGCGTCCATGCTCTGGCAGTAGCCACAGGAGCACCCGAATGAGAGGCATAGTGATGTTTAGACAGTTTAACTTGATAAATTAAAGTTGTTGATTGATCATGGGAAGCAAGTCCGTTATCTGCCAGCAGAGCTGGGTGGTAACTGATTACATGTAATCTGAAATACGTAATCCGATTCCAAATATTAAGTACTTGTAATTAGATTAAATTACATTTTAAAATACTCGTAATCAGACTACAGTTACTTTTTTTTATGGATTACGTGATTACATATTTATACCAGTGGTTCTCAAAAATGTCTTGGAGGACCCCGAGCCTTGCACATTTTGTATGTCTCCTTTATCTAACACACCTGATTCAACTCATCAGTTTGTTAGTAGAGACTACAAGACATGAATTGAGTGTGTCTGATAAGGGAGACATACAAAATGTGCAGGGCTAGGGGTACTCGGACAGGTTTGAGAACCCCTGATTTACACAGTAGCAACAAAATATTCATAATTTTATTGTTCCAATTAGTTCACAGTAGAAAAAAAACAAGCCATGCCCTCTATTTTTCTTATTCGATATTCTGTTTCTCTTGGAAGTATGTCACAATATGGAAGTAAAGTTGCTCGCAACTTCCGGTTTACGTGGACTGGTACTGGTAGGTTTCTGTGGGAAATACGAGCCTGTCGCTGTTCGTCTTTGCGTCATGTCTGTATACCTAAAGAAGTAGTCCTGGCTAATAGCCTATATCGCATGTGAGGAAGCTGCAGGTGTCGGATCATTTATAGACTTTTCTCATAGCAGCTGGAATAATTAAATTAAATCATTTTGATGGCGGATTGTAATGGATTTGTATGGAAAGGTCCATACAAGGATCATCAATGATAACTGGAGATTCACCTGTAGTCACCAGTAGTCTACAGGTAATGCTAATGCACACTATATACACATAGTCAGGCATTGCTGATGTTGTTAACATACTTTGTTCTCAAATTGTTAACTAATAATATTTTGTACAGTTTGCTGTGATATGAGCCAAGCGATTGTTAGATTTAATCAACAGTGGTAGCGTGAAGTATTGCAATGCTTTTCTTCTTAGTTGGTCAGAATAAAAGTGGCAGACTCGCTTGTTCAGAAGACATTTTCTGGTGAAAATTCTTATTTGGGTCATACTTCCAAGATGTAAAATCTGTGATTCTGAAGTGCATTATCCACACCGACCGACTGACTGACTGACAGCCACACATACACCTCAAAACATTATAGATTAATCTGCGCTGAGGAGCTGTGCTGATGCACAACTCGCATAAAGATGATAATTCCGCAAATAACTGCAATTACAGGTTTCAAAAGCAAAACTTGCAGTCCGCAGCTTTAAATGAATTGCATCTTTATCATTACATGTTTTACTACAAATATATTTAGATTCATAATAAACAAGTTTCAATAGACATTACATTTATGTGGTGTTAACCATAAAGTATGCATGTATGTACACTGTGGCGGGAGCCGCAAACGACAGACACAGTTGGTGGCCTCAGGCCTCGCAGAGGCTTTTATTGAACAGAAATTCATGAGTTCACACTTATATATAATAAACGGAGTAAAGGTTATGCATATTTGGTGTGCTGTCCGAGGGGAGGGCTCCGAGCTCGGAATTTTGGCCCAATCCCTCCTCTCTCACACACCCACTGCTGTCACTGATGGGATTCTGGTGAAGGGTGCCGATGATAATTAGGGGGAGGCAGACCAGGGTTGTGTCCGAAATCGCCCCCTATACCCTCATTCACTATTCCCTACATTAGGTCACTAATTCAGTTCACTAGAAGGAGTGAATGAAAACGAGTAGTGAATTCGGACACTGAGTGCACCGGAAGGAATGCCGCTTTTGCATAGCTTGCTGTTTATTAATCATTTGAAACTAGCAGCTCCAGTAGTAAGATTAAAGGATTTATCTTGAACTCTGTTATGGAAATTATGTATAAACCCTAATCAAACAATTTAATTATCAATTTACAATGAATTTATACCCGTGTTGTACATTATGCTATACGCCATGGATGAGCGCTTTGTAAAAATGAACGGATTGATTATTCAGCTATCTATCTTCTGGCGAGATGTGGGAATTCATTCGGCGCGTGACTCACGGTGCATTATGGGTATTCTCTAGCCGTTGAGCGTGCACCAGTTGTACAGACGTTTTTGCAGTGCATTGTTGGATTGAATGAGCTCACTCGAGAACGTCCACTATGGTTTCGGACTCCACTAAAAATGGCTGTTCCCTCAAATAGTGCCCTATTTAAGGGTATAGGGGGCGATTTCGGACACAGCCCTTCTCTTACAACTGATTAAGGTATACAGCTGAACATACTGACAAGCATTTATGTAACTGTTACAGGATTTAAAGCATAGTGTAACTCCTTTTTTAAATATTACTTACCTGGTCATACTTATTTGAATGTTAACTTGGATAATTAACTTGCCAAAGTGATAAATAAAGAATTGCTAAAATGAGGTTTAATCTCTATAGAACTAAAACAGGAATGGTTATTATTTACAGATTATTGTTTTCTTATTAAAACAACACATTTTTGTGAATTTTCTCAGTCTTTTTTAATGTGGCTCACAGGTGTAATGTGTTTATGGAGGAATCACAGCAGTGGGAGGATCCTCTGATGCAGGTTGAGAGAGGAGCTCTGGGACTGAAGCAGCCTTGAACACCAGCTCTGGCTGAGGCTACGACGGCAAACACTGGAACGGCCTTGACTGGAACTACTTTGCTGTTCTTTCCCATCATGAGAGGAACCTTTGTAGTGGACAGGACGGGCGTCAGTGTGACCCGGTCAATCATGTCAGAAACCTCTTCAGGGTTTGCAACGGCAGCAGAAAACCTCAGGCCGGGACAAGAAGCTCTGGAAAGGTACCCTGTGGAGTGACCTCTCTGATCTCAGCAGATTCTGGAGCAGCAGCATTCACATTGTTTTCTAAAGCGGCCTTGATTTCTTTGGGACTCATTTGTCCGTGGCAAGAACTTTTGGGTCAGACACAACCGAGGCCTGCCAGCCCCGCAAGACGCTAAAGCTGGAGAGATGAAGGGGTCACCTGTCTCAGTCCTCCAGACACAAGACTGACCCTCTTCACCAGGACCTGAAACACAATTAGAAATTATACAAATTACACAAACATACTTCATAAGGTATAAAAATACATCATGTGCAGTGTATATGGATTGACTATGTAACAGTTGCAGCAGGGATTCTGATCACATCAAATCAACAAAAAGACAAATACAAACAAATCATTTTAGCTTGTGTTAGACTTACCTTGAACCAGGCATGGGAGAGCATCTCCTCCAGATGAGCCCTCTGCTCCGGGTCACTCTTTAGGCAACCGGGAATAAAACGGCAGCATTCTGTGCAGAAAAATGAGAGAGATTTCTGATTATTTCCTTCACTTTCACACCTGCTTTCTAAACAGTGAGAGATTCCTGCGTTATCCATAAGGCCATTATTTATAAAGCCTCTGTTTTGCATGATTGACATTATGAATTGCAATTGTTGTTCTTTGTTGTATTGACTTTCTTACCATCTGAGAAGTTAGGCTTGATCCAGACATCAGTGTCTATCAGTATTATATCACCGCTGTATGGATAACGGTTGGTCATCATGATAAACAGCAGCCTTGATTGGCCTTGACTGTCAAAGCCACCTCTAGAGGAACTGGACTGGGATGGTCAGGCTAGAACAGGTGTAGGCAAGTTCGGTCCTAGAGAGCCGCAGTCCTGCAGAGTTCAGCTCCAACCCTAATCAAACACACCTGAACAAGCTAATCAATGTCTTCAGGATTACTAAGGGGTAAAACTTTTCAGGGTTGAAGCTGAACTCTGCGGCTCTCTAGGACCGAACTTGCCTACCCCTGGGCTAGAAGAAAGATTGCGTTATGATGGTCAGATGGAAGCAGTTTCTCAAATTAGGATTTAGCTCAGTCTGTTTGTCTTGAAATATCTGTACCTTGTGTTTTACATGAATTTTAAGATTGTATAAATTGCAAACAGTAAATGAGAGATGACGGAGAGAGCACAGTGCTTGCACTACTTACAAGGCTGAGGTACAGCTTGTTTTCTGTCTTTGCTGTGAATTTCACAGCCACCTGAAGGCCTTCCTCACCGTGGGTCTCTTCAAAGACAGCCTCCTTCCCCAACTTCTTGCCGATGGCATACGTCCCGCAGATGAGGTCTATTGCAAGATAAATAATTGTAGTTACTAGTTATTTTATTTAAGTTCACACTGCAGGACTAAATGAACTGCAAAAAACGGCAAATGGTAATTTAAAACTAAAAAACCTAAAAGAAATGTTTACATTTTACATTATAAGAATGTACATTATTTAAAGCATACATTTTCTTTAATAGATACACACCTAAAATAAATTATAAGGAGAGGTTGCGTGTTATATTTTGGGTTATGACAGTAAACTCACCCTCGCTCCTCGTGATCTCGTCACAGTCCAGATGTGAAGGACTGGCTGGACTGTCCTGATCTTGAGGCTGGACGTCCTGCATTTTTCTGCTCCTCGGCAGTGAGGGGTCTTCAGGAGCACTGGAAGGAGACTCCTGATGATCATTGTCCTCTACAGAAGACGTCCTGCAGAGAAGTCTGATCTAAAGACAGCAATATCATCCAAAAGCTGGTTTGTAATCAAATAATATCAATAATATATTGCATACTCGTATTAATTATTCATTCAGGAATTACTTTTGGTTACTTGAATCTTGAAATATTCTTAACTATAACATTTATCACATGTAGTGGGAAAACATATTTATTTGCATTTGTATAATGTGATGGTGATGTGTGTAAGTGATGAATAGACTTTTTGATGTTCATGTTGATGTACCATCAGTACAGCTCCTGGATGGAGACACACCAGTGTCCTGCTCCTCCTCACCCTGAGCTTTGGTGGGTTTGTGGGGAGAGAAACAACAGAGGAAAGCAGCAAACCTCCGAAACCTGCTCTTTTTCTGCCTCTTCTTCTTTGTGTTGTCTCCTCTCCTCACCGATAGTCACAGGCGTCTCTTCAGGAGAGGATGGAGGTCCGTGTGGTCGGTGGGTGTCAGTGTTGTCCCTCCGCTTTCTCTCCACGAGACAGTCGCCAACAACTAAACTCACGGTAAGCACTGCTGATAACACACTCTTTACTAGTCTCGCGCTTTATATATTCCCGCGGCACCTTCTGAATTCCTCTATGATATATCATAAGAGCTCAAACAACCTGTGGTAAAATGTTTTTATTTGGAATTTCAGCCTTTGTGACAACTTCACAACTAGTATGAACACAACTTAACTCATTTGGGGGTTTGCCAGTTATTTCAAATCATATTCAGGTCTGAATTGTAGTGTTTATTCTCTATTGGCTCATTAAGATAATTTCATTCATCTGAAGTGGTGTTTTTTCTCACAGCCACATGAGGGTGCAAGACATTGCTTTCATCATAAAAATGAATGCGTTTCATCCTACCAGCCTACACTTCAGAAAATACCTACTTTACAGGATGGTTCTTTGGCCCAAAACACTGCGAAATGTACTAGAACGGTCAAATAATATTAATACAAAATATAAAATTCAGTCTGGATTTGTTTTTGTGGGCATTTCTGCTGTTCCTCATAACCATAGGCCTAAATAGTAATGTGTCACAGAAAAAACCTAAATAATTACAAGGGGATTCTGGCAATAAAGTTGACACAGAACCAAGCAATTTGAGCAGATTAATTTGTATTTTTAAGCAACAATGACAGAACTGAACTGGAAGTGAACAGCTGGGCCCTGGTTTATAAGGTGCCTTCGTTCATGGTTAAGATGTCTGTTTTTCGAAACTGTGGCAAAGTTCAGGAAACCTGAAAAAAGTGTTATAGAACACAATCTTTCCTTCGTTTGTTTTAACATTTTGCTGCGGCAAAGGCAACCTTGCCCTTGTTTTGTTTTTTCATATTTGGTAATACAGCATCTCTAGACACTGTCAAATCTGTTTCCTCCACTACATAGCATTTCAAAACAATCAAGCTGGTTTAATAGGATAACGTAGTTACACGATTATTTCCTAAATGATTAAATGACGTGATGATAATAAACACCAAAACCTCGATTCATCTGTCCATCTAATTCTGCTTTGTCCAGAGGAAGGAGATAAGGACATTTGCAACAATACGTAATGAAACTGACCAATAAGTTCATGAGCACATCGATGGTCGATCATCAACTGTAATCGTATTTCTAACAGCAGCTAATGTTTTTAAACGAGTTTGTGTTCTCCGCATCAGCCTCTGGTTGTCTCTGAATAGATTATTTATAAATGTGCCATGTGATATTATTATAATCCTTTTTATTTAGTACATCACTTTAAGGAAAGGAAAGGGAAAATCAACCACACACACATAATCGTGCCATTTAACATGTGGGATATAGATCTAATTATACAATCTGATTTGGAGTTCAAATGTGTAACAGCACTAGAGAAAACGCTCCTATTTGCCATTCTTTTCGAATGTAACACCACTTTATATGATCAGCATAACAGTTAAAAGTTTAGCTGTATGAACGTCACAAAACCAGATGATTCATGTTATCCAGCATGATGTTTCAGGTCATTCATTACTACTAATAATGCTAATACTATTAAGGAAAATGACTCAAATTCTACCATAAAAACACGAGGAGATGATTTAAGAGAATTTCATTGTTTACTATTAGAAGTATCATAAAATACAACACATACACTACCGGTCAAAAGTCTGGAATTATTATGATTTTTAAATGTTCTTATAAGAAGTATTTCGCGTTCACCAAGGATGCATTTATTTAATCAATAAGACAATAAAAGCAGTAATATTGTGAAATATGATCAAATGTCAATTATTCCTGTGACGGAAAAGCCGAGTTTTCAGCATCATTACCGAAAACAGGTGTGCTGCTTAATATTTTTGTGGAAAGCATTATAATTAAAAGGTTGGGGTAATTAAGATTATAAACAAAAGGGAAAAAAAGAATACTTATATTGAACAAGGATGCATTACACTGATGATAAAAAAAGTGACAATTTATAATGTTACGATATATTTCGGTCTAAAATGAATGCTGTTATTCAAAGAGTCAAAAGCATTAAGCAGACTACGGTGTTCAATATTGATAAAAATAATGTTTCTTGAGCAGCAAATCAGCATATTTAAATGATTTCTGAAGGATCATGTGACACTGAAAACTTGGAGTAATGATGCTGAAAATATAGCTTTGTATCAGGAATAAGTTCAGTTTTACAATATATTCAAATAGAACACATTAAATTGTAGTAATTCACAGCATTTCTGTTTTACTGTACTTTTGATCAAATTGGTGTGTATAAGTGACAAACAAAAAGAAGCAAAAAAAAGAAAAAAAAGTACTACCTCTTGACCGGCAACATCTAAACGGTCCCTTATTTGATAAATGATTTATGACAGTTAGTTTTGTGTGATTCCTCACAAGATAATATTGTAAACTGTATGCATACTGCATTTTGAACATAATTAGGCCTGTATGAGACTGGAGCTGTGTTACTTCACTACTAGTTGACTTCTACAGCAAATCACTCAAAACCCAACTCAAAACAGTTGCTATTGTTGTGAGGCCAAGAGGAAGGCTTATGTTAATTCACGTAGTTGTGTTAAAATCAGTGGTCGGGCAACTGCAAGTCGTCTATTCCACAAATCTATATTGGCAAAATAGTGTGCGATTACGCAAAGATACACTGAGATTACTGCGAATACAGCACCCATAATCAAAGTCTCTATTGACCGAATACGAGCCGTTCTTTTCCAGCGAGGAGTGGAGCCAATGCCGCTCACTGGACGTCCAGTCGGGCGGCTCTCCCACATTCTGCGGCAGTGACTCAGCATTGGCATGAGGTTAAACTCGGCTCTCCGCTTGGACAGCGTCAAAGTGTCTATGCCAGCGGTGGGACCGGCATCACTGATGCGCCAGGCAGTTGTGCGGCGTGCACTCTTCCTGCTCCTCCAGCTCGGGGCACGGCGTGCCGCTGTTGGCGGGTTTGAGCAGGATGTAACGGGTGCGATGGCGCAGGCCGCCCCGAGAGCACGGCCCCAGACACAGGCCCCAAGACGACCACATCGACACCTCGCAGTCCAGCGGCGTTTCTGCAAGACATGCAGGAGTCATGAGGATCGCTAGCCAAAAAAGCTGTCTGGAAGCAGTCCGTCAAGAGATTGTTTATATGCATGTTTATGCATGGTCAATTAAAGAAAAACGGACCACTGGCGTACTTGGGCTGTAGGGCTGAGTGGCTCAGATGTCCCAAATAATTGAACAAATGTGTA